GGGCAAGTTCATGGCAGCCAATTCTCTTCTCACTCATTTATTTATGCCTCTCAGCCCACCTGAATCCCAGCTCACCCAGATGCTGGAATATTTCTTGCACTCAGCTGTGCTACAAAGCTCACAGGTGAGAGAGTTTTTCCATGACCATTGTATACATGTTTTATTGCCCTCATGTAGCATCCTCTTACATGTTCTGTATTCACTCAGTTTTCATCAGTCACTGACTCCAGGGACTATTTCTGGGTCTTCACTTTCAGTAGAGATGAGGGAGCACAACCACCTGTTTTTAAGAACATGAAAATGCTGGGAAATGACAGAAAATAACAGTTATTATGCTTATGTACAGAAAAATACCAGACAACTCAAAAAAAGGGATGTGATTTTTACTCCCTGTTACTCCTTGTTATGGTGTGATGGAGATAGGATATCTATGTCCTGATGTGCAGAGCAAATGAGATGCTTTTACTTGCTTGTTGCCTCAGTGACTCAGTAAAGTGAGTTGAGGAACATTAATTTTTAAATCAGAAAAAAAAAAAACAAAATGAGTCTTCCTTTCTTCCATTGTTCTCACCTTCTGTTTGTAAAGTACAAGGAATTAATAAAGACTGTTACTTTCACAACTCACAAATGAGAATTAACCACCCTTATTGTGAGTTTGAAGATTGTCTTAATCTCCTTTGGCCCTGTTGTGAACTACACCTGTGGCATTTTTCATGTTTTACCACCTTAAACAGAAAAGTAGATAATGAAATCCTAAATCTTCTAAAATCCCTTAAATATATTTTTATTTCCTGTTTCTGAAAAGTACCCAAATGCCTCTGTTTCTTCTGACCTTTTGCTTCCTTGGGTTACCAATCTTCTGATTTGCAGCCACTTCAATCCTCAGGGTAATATTGCTCCACCAGATGAACCAGGGGTTCAGGGAGGTCTGATTTTGGGAATACCTGGAGGCTGAAACCTTCAGGCATCAGTAAGACTGTGTGTCATCCCCTCAGAAAGCCTCTAAAATCTGTCTGCCAGGTAAAATTCCTTTGAGGAGCAATGGCATTTTAACATAAGCCACATGAACTGCATGTCAGGGTGGTGATGCACCTTTCACCAGCCTCCTACTGTTCATTGGCTACAGCCAATGTGGAACCCTGCCAAAAAAATAGTGAGGTCTTTCCTCACCATGGGCTGCCTGGCACTGATATTTGGACTAGAAATAAGAGCTGCTAGAGCTGAGAATTCCTCCCCTTAAAATACAGCTACAGGAAAAGCTCCAGAAAATTATCCGGGGTTGAGCCAGTATCTGGCAGGTAGTCAGATGGCACAGGCTCAGTTTTCCCATCTTAAAGTGGAACAGAAGTATTGTCCAAAACGAAATGAACATCCTTTTTTTGCCTTCATTTCCCCACCCTTGCATTCAACCAGTCATTCTTGTTCACACCTTGCCTGCCCCTCCAGCCCAACCACTGAGCTCCTGCTGCTCCAACACTCCTCTGCTGGTGGTGAAATACCAACCACAGTGACTCACTCTGCCCTTGCTGGGGGAAATGAAAGTGGGTACAAGGATGAAGACATTTAAATGTGGGCTAGGGCAGCTGAGGGAGGTGCCATCTGAACCCCCACAGAGCATCTGCAGCCCTGAAGCAGGGCTGGATTCCCCAAGTTTGGAACAGCAGAAGAGCAGCAGAGCAATTTTGCTGGTCATTTTCCTCCTCTTCTTCTCTGTTCTTCAAGTAAAAACTTTTGAAAATGGCTTATGCTTGGCTTCTTTGCTCAGAGCACTTGTTTCAGCCTCTCAGCAGACTAGAGAGATAAGAAAATTCTGAGTATGATCACATCCACTTTCAAACTCTCCTTCATAATTTTTAATACAAAAACAAAACAAAAAAATTACTTTTTTCAATTAGCTGGCTGCAATTCATGAATGACCACACCAGAGGGTAAGATGTGTTCCCATGGTTCCAGCCCTGTGTTCATTTCAACCATTCACTGCACATTTTCAAACTCTTTTTTTAACTTTAGTCAAACTTGCACTTTAGTTGATAAATAAATCATAGCAGCAAGCCCACCACTCTACTTTATGATCTTGTACATAAGAAAAAGGGGTGTTAAATTCATGCAGCTTTTGGGGAGGACAAGAGACTTGTTTTAAAACTGAGATTGAAGCTCCAGAAGGAAATTGCTCTGAGTTGGATCTTACAATCAGGATGTGTCTAAGCCAAAAAAATATTCCTTCTTTAAAACCCTGTTGTGCAATTACAAGCCCTGTGTTTCAATTACAGGAGCTCTGGACTAACATCACCACTGCACATGTCAATTTAGCTAACATGCTCCCAAATGTATTATGCCCTAAACCTTATATAAAGGATTTAAAACCAAATTGTTTGAATCATGCACTCATACATTTTTAGCTATGCATAGACATAGAATCTCACTACCCTAAATATAACCACAATATTAAATCAGACTGTTTATGTGAGGAAGATTATTTACATATTTCCTCAGAATTAGTCATTTGGTTCTTAAACTCAGTTGTGGCTGTTGCATGTATTAATGCTAAAATCCTTTAAATATATTTTTCCATTTCTGAGAAGCAGACAAAAACCTCTGCCTCTTCTTAATATTAATGCCCTTTGTCTAATGTCTTCTCCAGGCCCAAAAGTGAAAATATTAAGTACAGAAATCCCCCAAAACTGAATAAAACCAAACTGTTATAAATACTCTGATGAAAACACTTCTCATTTTTCTTTGCTCAACCTTAAATCTTCCATAGACCAAATGCTCACTAGTTCTTCAGTCATTCATAAAAAGGAAAAAATAAATAACTTTGTCTGGTTTATTTTTGCATGGTTTTTTTGTGATTGTTACTTAGATTTAGCTCAGTCAGAACTCAGTCACTTTGTCTTGGTGTGCAATGATACATCTCCCATTGCAACAGTGTGATACTGAATTAATACCTGACTCAAAGCTAGCTTTGTGATGCAAATTTAGGATTTTTTTTTACTCACAGGTGGAGCAGGTGAAGATTTACTCTGCAGTGATACCAAATGCAATGAAAAGGAAGCAGAAGAGGTTAAAATCCTGAAACTGGTCACCAGAGAGAAGAGATCTGTGCTTAGGACAGCTTTGTGACCCCCAGACACTGATAATTCAATCCCTTTCATTTATCCCAGACTTGCATGCCTGTATCACAGAAAGTGATGAGTGGGCTCACTTAGCTTAAGGTGCTGTTGAAGCTGGAGAGCCCCAAGGGGGAGCATCTGCTCCTGGAACAGCCCAGACACTGCTAGGGGAATTCCTTAGCTTTGCATGGAAGGATCAGGGGGAAATTTAAACCTAAACTATGCATCCAATCTATAAATTTTGACTCTAATTTGTTTATTTCTAGGAAAGATGCTGCACAAAAGGCTTGTGTGGCCAGGAGAGATTTCAGATCTTCTAAATTTGCCTAATCCAATCCAGCATCTTTCTGAGTGATCTGATGTCCTTCTAACTTATGGAAAGCTTCCAATTAGGATGAGAAGTCGATGCTCCCTGACTCCATTGATATGGTAAATCAGCAGACACAGGTTGAATTTCAGCTGACAACTCACACTGAGCTGGTCAGAGTCCATTCTTCTAAGTGCAACTACCAAGCAATTTTCAAGTTCCCACATGAAGCTGTTTTGAGAATGAGAAGTTGTTTAACACAACAATCTATTCTTATGAATACCTGATTCATACCTGAGTCCTGGGTGAAGGGTCCCAGATTCCTTGCCTCACCACCATCCAGCTGGACACCTGTACCCATAAGATCCCAGACCCAGAGTAGCCAGGTTGTACAAACCTCACATCCCTGTGGTACAATGTCTTTGTGCAGATTATGGAGAGTTTCATACGTCAGGAACTCAGTCATGGCTGCAACCTCTGACTCCCCTCTGTGTTGTGAGGGGCCTCCATTCTTGTCCTTATCTGGGCACTCTGATTTCATTTTAGACCTCCTTGTTTCTACAGGGGCGACTGCTGCTGGCTGTGCCTGCCTTTGCAGTTCAGCTAGAACCTGGACAGTTGTAACATCCGTGGGTTCTACTGCTGCAACTCTCCAAGGCAGAGGGAGGGTTTCCCTCCAGCTGGGGAGATGTACTCCTTCAGCTTCTGGCTCATTTTGCACCTCTCCTTCACCAGAACCCTCACCCAGTCTGGGTGGTTCATGTCTGAGGTGGGCTGTGGGGCAGGGTCAGCTGTGGGGCAGCATCCTTGTTCTCTGGGGCAGTGTCAGGCTCTGGGGCAGCATCCCTAGTCTCTGGGGTAGGTATCAGGGTGGTTATCCAGGTCAATATCCCCTTATCTCTGAATGCTGAACAGAACAGGCCTATCAGCAACGCCAACCATTAGCATTTCGAGAAGGTTTGAACCCTTCAAAAACTGGTGGGGGAGATCCAAAGAGCTGGGTGAAGCTTTGGCAGAAAATTTCCCCTGGTGTCATTTCCTCACAGTGTGTGCCATTTTTAAAGTTACTCCAAAAACATAGAGTTAGTGTGTGACAGCTCTGAAATCATGTGCCTGCCTTCCAGAGGAAATTAAAAATCCATTAAATCCTTACCTTATTAACCCTTAAAGCAAACTGGATAACAGCCACAGTATCCTTAGTTATAGGACCCATGACAGAAATGGGCCTGTAAATGGGAGAAATGTAGCCACAACCACCTGCCCACAGGGTAAGCTAGACCACATGGTGACACCTAAAGAAGTTTCTATCTGCAGCACACAAAAAGTAGATTACTCAAGAGCTGTTACTCTTTTTCACCCTTTTTCTCTCAATGCCCTCAGGCTCCACCATTGGGTGCCAAAATCTGTCCTGATTTACAAGACAGGTGTCTGCTAGGGAAGGTAGGAGGAGCCTCCCTTTGAATGCAGAATTCCCGCTTCCTCCAAATTATTAGAAGTTTGAAATTAAGGGGCTCTCAGGCAAAGATATCAGAGTAGGAAAAACAGTTCTTTATTACTGTGTATAACAAGGTAAACAGAAACAATTAATACAGCTTTGTAATTATTTACTAGTAACAAACAGAACCCAGAACCAGTCCCAGCTTTCAGCCGCGGTGATTCCCCTGGGATGGAGGAGAGGAGAGAGGCTTTGCTTCACAAACCCTGAGGCAGCCGATCCCAGTGCCCCAGCAGGACTCTCAGAAGCAGGAGGCTGGAACAGCAGGGATGAGCAGAAATCCTGGAGCAGTGGATGAGAATGTATCAAAACTCCCTGGCAATAGCTGGAACCTGCGGGATGTTCTGGCAGGGTAGGAGGGCCCAGCAGCAGAAGAAAGGTGCCCCGCTGGGTTATGGTGGTGGCAGCCAACTCCTTCCCCCAAGCTGAAGGTCTGACAGTCCTCCTCCAAAGCCCTGCAGCGAGAGAGAGAGGCTAATCACAAACCTGTCTCTTCTACCTGGCCCCCATTCTCACGGTATCCCTGCCCTCCACCCACCCAAGAGAAAACTCCCAAAATCCAAAGGAGTTCCCCCTCCCCGCTGTCTCAAGTACCCAGCCATCAGTGAAACTCAATGGGGAAAAATTCCACACTAACAAGGAAAAACAGAAAAAACCCAACCCCCAACATTAATGTTACAATCCTAAAAGTGTCTTTGCCTCCTCGCTCTGTGACAGAAGGGTTTCACTGGCATACTTCTGGAGCAGCTCCATCTTCTTTCTTCGTACAAGAGCTTTCTCAATCTCCTGTTTAGTTGGCACTGGAACATGTGCAACAAATTTCTGTTGGCCAGCTTCACCTTCTTTCTCCTTGCCACCTTCCTCATCAGACTCTTCCTCATGGACAGCATATATGTTTTCTTCCTCCTCCTCTTCCTCCTCACCTCTTGCAAGTTGTGCTTCTCTCTCCATCTTCCATTTTTCCACTGCTTCTGCTATAACTTTCTTCTCATGCTCCAGCTCTAGGGGCTCCAGAATCCCATCATCTTCATCCCTGTAGCCATAGTACTCAGCATCTATGTCCTTCATAAGCTCAGCCCGAGTCTTCCGTGGGGGTGGCAGGGGTTCCTTTTCAAAAAGCTCTCTAACTCCTGGCAAGTCCTTTGCAGCCCCAAAGTATTTGTAGCCTCTGTTTCCTGGAACTTCTTTCCCTTCATGATCTAACATTCTTGGGCCAATCCTAGCATAATCAGGACCTCCCAACTCCTTTATTCTGTATTCCCAGTGTCCTTTCTCCCTCAGAAGTTTGTTGATTTCATCATTCAGGTCCCGAATTCTGAATTCACCCAATCCAGCTGTTAGAGAGGAAAAAACCCAATAAATCAGGCAGCTCAGAGAAACACCAGAGGAATTTCAGACTTTAAGCAATGGAAACAGCACATTTCAGTTCACATGAAATGGGATTTTTACTGTAACTGCTTATGACTGGATATTCAAAAAATATAGTTAGAAAAACCTTACCATTTTGGATCTGTGCCACTTTCTTGGAAATCTCCCCAATGATCTAGTCAAATAAGAACACAGAAATTAATTTCTAAATCAGTGGAGGGAACAAAGGAGACAGAGCCAGATTGTTTGAGAAAGGCATGGCAACAGGACAAGTAGCAATAAAACACAAGTTGAAACTGGGGAAATTCTGATTAATTTCAAGGGGAAATAAATCATTAGGAAGATAATCAAACATTGGAACAGCAGCCCCAAAAACATGGAATCTAAATCCCTGAAGATATGAAAGACTCAGCAGGACATGGCCTCTCAACACTGAGAAGTACAATCTTAGAAAATGTTCTGTGATTTAACTGTCAGGGTACTGATGAGTGTGGAAACCCCTTGTAAGCAGGCTGTCTAAGCAGGAATTCCTATAGAATTAGAAAATTATCTGAAATATTCTTAATTGTTGTACGTGACTTATTCTTGATTGTTGTCAGTTTCTTATTCATTGCATGTATTCTTTTGCCTTGATGTTTCTTCATGCTCATAACCAAATTCATGCATCTCATTTTAAGAAAATGAAAAGAAAGGGAATTTAGTGCCTTAAGAACATCCAAATAATGTAATATGTGCATTAGAAAGTTAGACAACAAATCATTTTAAATAATGTAATATTTGCATTACTAGAAATTTGGAAGAAAGATCATCAAATCTAAATCCCAAGTGAGTGTGCCACAGCAAAGCCTAATTGATTCATTGGCTTGAAGAGAGGGCGTGCTTGAGGTTTATCATCAGCAGGTTCACAGCAGTCACCTGTTCATTCAATCAGACACCGACTGCCTCCAAGAAAATGAGACCCAGTGGAAAGAGAAATAATCTAATCACCCTGCAGCCTTCATGGCCAGAACAGGAACAGAAGTAGGACTGCCAAGACACAACTGTGTCTGGAAACTACAGAGGCAATTTGCCAACAAAAGCCTTATGATATCATCATGATAAGTGTTCCTACTAACCTTCTTCATGGAAGGTTCCTTATTCCCTGTTCCAGGATCCAGGAGGGCATTCAATGATGTCACAGATCAACATTTCAAGCTAATGAACTTTCTCCTGAGTCTCAATTATTTGGACTTTAAAACAATGGTCATTTGTTTCCGTTTCCCTAAGAGAGATTGGACATTATTCTTTTGTTTTCTCATGCTCTGAAAGCCTGTGCCAATGGCACGATAGAATTTGATATGTTTTGTTGATTGTAATCAGTCTTTTATGCATCTTATCCCATATCTAATAGATAACCAATGATAACCTTAATGAGATAATAACTCACAAGGCGAGACATTTTAATATCAGGACATTTGATCCTTTTTTAAATTAATGAAAAGGGTGAGATTTTGTGTAGTTATCTAAGAGACACATGTCGTTTCAGGATCCTTTATTTTTTTGTTGTTGTTCTCTAGCTGCTTAGGCATCTCTTGGACCAGGTTAGCTCTATGGCTAGTCCCTCTATGGTTTGACCCAATGCTGTCTCATAATTTGTTTTGAGAGTTCCAAGAAAATATATCTGAGCTTCACTGAAAGCCTCCTCTGAACTGCTAGTCAAGTGATTTTCCCCAGTTATTATTACAGAAGCACTCCAGCAGTTTGCTGTGTTTGAAGCATCTCTGTCCTGAAGGAAACTTCAGAGGGATCCTACTAGATGGTTTGATTAGTCTTTAACCCCAAGGCCTTTATACATAACTGCTAATCTTAAGAGTCTTGTTTTAAAATGTGTTTAGGGAATTCCCCGCCAGGTGGAATTTGGGCAGTGGCCAGGCCCTGGCTCTACCTGGATGGAGAATCTGCCAATAACCCCAGACATTCTCTGCATCAAAACTAGATCCCAATCACTTTGACTTGGCAATTTGACCCTTTATATATGACAGCTGAACCTATTTTTAGAGTGAGTTTGGGAATTATTGTCTGGAAATAATTATTGAAGCCCTCACTAAATTGATGTTTGTCAGCTGCTTGCAGACTCTGGGATGATGGTACAGTATTTCAGAGATTCCTAATTACCTAATTTCACATGTATTATTAATTATGTGTATTATCTGAAATATTCTTAATTGTTGTACGTGACTTATTCTTGATTGTTGTCAGTTTCTTATTCATTGCATGTATTCTTTTGCCTTGATGTTTCTTCATGCTCATAACCAAATTCATGCATCTCATTTTAAGAAAATGAAAAGAAAGGGAATTTAGTGCCTTAAGAACATCCAAATAATGTAATATGTGCATTAGAAAGTTAGACAACAAATCATTTTAAATAATGCAATATTTGCATTACTAGAAATTTGGAAGAAAGATCATCAAATCTAAATCCCAAGTGAGTGTGCCACAGCAAAGCCTATTTGATTCATTGGCTTGAAGAGAGGGCGTGCTTGAGGTTTATCATCAGCAGGTTCACAGCAGTCACCTGTTCATTCAATCAGACACCGACTGCCTCCAAGAAAATGAGACCCAGTGGAAAGAGAAATAATCTAATCACCACCCAGCCTTCATGGCCAGAACGGAACAGAAGTAGGACTGCCAAGACACAGCTGTGTCTGGAAACTACAGAGGCAATTTGCCAACAAAAGCCTTATGATATCATCATGATAAGTGCTCCTACTAACCTCCTTCATGGAAGGTTCCTTATTCCCTGTTCCAGGATCCAGGAGAGCATTCAGTGATGTCACAGATTAACATTTCAAGCTAATGAACTTTCTCCTGAGTCTCAACTATTTGGACTTTAAAACAATGGTCATTTGTTTCCATTTCCCTAAGACAGATTGGACATTATTCTTTTGTTTTCTCATGCTCTGAAAGCCTGTGCCAATGGCATGATAGAATTTGATATGTTTTGTTGGTTATAATCAGTCTTTTATGCATCTTATCCCACATCTAATAGATAACCAGTGATAACCTTAATGAGATAATAGCTCACAAGAGCGAGATGTTTTAACATCAGAACATTTGAGCCTTTTTTAAATTAATGAAAAGGGTGAGATATTATAGACAGGTAGAATTATGAAAGAATTATGAAATAAAGGCCTTATGAAATCAGGCCTCATTCTGCTAAAATTGCCAAAGCTGGCCTGTCATTTCTTCTAACTGCAGCTTACAAGAAATTTGCAAGTTCCCATGTGAAGCTATTTTGAGAATGAGAAGTTGTTTAACACAACAATCTATTCTGAGGGTAAAAAACAAATGCACCTGTGTAAACAATAATATTTGTCCCATGAGAACCCACAAAGGAAAAATGTAAACATATCTAGAGACAGAAAATTTGATAGACATATACAATAACCCTTTCTGACCAATGAACTGAGTTTCACTGTATTGCTGACCAATTAGGTTTAACACAATGCCTTCTGATATTTCCTACAAATATGAGCTTTGTGAATAAAGAAGTGGCTTTCTGCATGAAGAAAATGGAGTCTTGGTTGATTTATTCCAACACTCAAGTAACTGTCTTTCCTTGCAAATTGTCATTGTGCATCCTGGATCAAAGCACTTCCTGGGAGTCTCAGGTTTCTCTCTTATTCATCACTTCTATTCTCTCTTTCTTCTCAACTAAATGCAATTTTTTGAGGTCTTCTCTCCTCATACCTCCTAAATCCTGTGATCTGAACCCATGAGTATTTTTCCCCAATTTCATTCTACTTTCACATTTTTTCTCTCTGGTCTTTCCCTCCAGTTCCTGTGGCCGGTGTTGACACAAGCCCTGTGCTGTACATCTCACCACACACTGGGCAGCCCCACTCAGCTCTCCAGGGCAGTTTTCACTGAACACTGGCCTCTTCTGATCTCTTTACTGTTTGTGTTTTACCAATCTTGTCATTTCCTCTGCTTCTTTCCCACTTGTCCCTAATCAACAGTACTGCAAACTTTTATATGGCCAGTCAGTCCTTCCAGTTCAATGACATTTTTTCATCCTAAGATATCTCCTTTCTATTCCCTTTCCTTTCTTCTATGAGCATAATTGTTGATTTTCCCTGTTTCAGACTTCTAAGTCTTCCTAGACAAATGACTTCTGCAACTCTGTTGACCACAGCTCTAGATCCTTTCACATCTTTTGCCTGACATCACACTTTTTCCTCTTTCCTCATTCATTATTCTTCTTGATAAAATAATTGTTGAGCATGCCAAATTAAAATTACATTTTAATCTTTTGATTCCATTACACTTTACCTTTTCATGCCCTCATTTTTCTTGTACAACTTTGCCCTCCTTTTTAAATTTTATCTCCTCTGTTTGTCTCCATGTCTTCATGTCCCCAGTATAGTTTCTTTTACATTTCTCCTGAATTCTTTTTTTTTTTCTTTACCTTCTGTCACTGTGATATTTTCTGAAAAATCCCTTTGCCTGGATTTCTTCTCCTGGGAAGCTAAGAGGCCTCAGAGAAAAATGTAAAAAAAAATTACCTGATTTGCTTCTCCTGTTTTGCTGCTTTGGAATGTGGTAGGTGATTGTTTCGTTGGTTTAATGTGAATTGGTTTTACTTAATGACCAATCACTGTCCAGCTGTGTCAAGGCCCTGAAGAGGGTCATGAGTTTTCATTATCATTCTTGCTAGCCTTCTGATTATCCTTTCTCTATAGTTTAGTATAGTGTTCTTTAATATAATATAGTATAATAAAATAATAAATCAGCCTTCTGAGAACATGGAGTCAGATTTACTCACCTCTCACCTCATCCTGGGGACCCCTGCAAACTCAACAACCTTCAGACTACAAAGATGTTTTATTCTATTGTGCCTAAACAACACTTTAAAAAACTCTTTCATTGTATTTGGCTTCACAATAGCTGCATCTTCAGTTGTCTTTTTACCTTAAGTTTATTTCACATGACAAATACAAATCTGTTGCTGTGTCCATCAGCAGACCCAGATGGCTCTTGTCCAAGTTCTCAGCTTCTGCATTCTCAAGCACTACAACATCCTTGACTAATTCACTCCTGCCCTCCCCACCCTTCTACAAAAATTGTTTAATTAGTTCCTTGTTTTGAGCACATCATTCTTCTCTCTTAATTCCTCCACTGCTATTCTGCCATCATATGATCAAACATTAATAAAAATGAAGTGTTATATCTCCTTATAGCCTTATCTTATTCTATCTATCAAAAGCAAGAAAAATAAATAAATAATGACAGCAATAATAAAATCATGCATGGAAACACACTACCTCCAAGATTATGAGATTGGAATGTCTCATTGTGAAAACATCAATCTCCCTTGGTAAATCTAACAGGAAGCTTCTCTCCCACTCACATCACTGAAGTTACTGTTCATATATTTTGGATAAATTTTCCTTCCTTGTATTAAAGGTTTGCACCTGGTACCTTAGTTAAACTGACCAATACTTTGTTTAATGACTTAGTCCACTGAGGTCATGACTTACAAAGAAAAGTGCTATTTAATTGGAGCCAAGATGATACAACTTGCCTATAACAAAACTTGGCATTTAAATATTATTTTTACATTTGTATTTGAAAGATGATACTTTTTCCTCTTATTTTGCTTTACTTTTTTAAAAATATGTTAATCACATCTAACAGTCAAGGATCAGAGGCTGTGTGACTTCATTAAATAAAAATACAATTAATGGAATTTTCCCATATGCTGTTGTTCATGTGAGCAGAATAAGGAAACAGGTCACTGGTGAACTTCATTTCACAGTACATGACAACTGGCATACAAACAAAATGCAATATCAAACTGGTTTGTCTTCTTACTACTGTCTTTGATCTTCAATTGCATATTTCTATACATCAATGGTTCAATAACTTTCACAGTGTATGCAATGACAGCTGACATCAGATTAATTGATCATTACATAAGTGCCTTAGAAATATGATGAAATAATTAGTAAGTAATCATGTTCTTGACTGAAAGGCAATATATTATTTTACAAAGGGATGAATCTATCATTTCAATAATTTCAAATTAATTTAATGAATGTGATTCTATCAGACACCATTCTGCTTTGCTCCAGTGTTCAAAAGT